GCCTTAAGGTGAAGACCACCATGATGGGTGATGATGGAAGCTGGCAAGGAAGCTTCCCTCCAGAAGCCCTAGGGACTCAGAGCAGTCACTTGTTGCTGAAAGGTGATCACTAAGTAGGTAGTGTTGGGGGTAGATAAAACGGGAGAGAGGGCATTTTAAGTTGTGTGAATACCACATGCAAGACCAGAAGGAAAGAAAATATGGCACATTGGGGAAGTGGAAATAGAGTAGTAGAGTGGGCCCAGTAAAGAGAGGAAGAGAGAAGAGAGTTTCATGTGGGTCAGCATTTCTCACAGCTGCGTTCTGTGGGACAATTTTCCTCTTCTGATTGTGAAGATGTGTCTCAGGAAGCAGTGGCCATTCTCCACCACAGAGTGCATTGCAGGGTCTAAGCCCTCCTTTTTATCTCCCATGTTAATGTTTTACATTATTTAAAGGCCTGTTACATAATTTAAAAACATTCCTTGCATGAGTTTGAAATATCATGCAAATAAGTAGATGATTTGCATTTGGGTAATAATGTTTGTGGTGATGTTTTCTAAAAGAAGAAATAGACTATTTTATTAAAGCATCATCTCCAATATTAATTATTGATATCTGAGAATGCCCTCTATGGGAGATGGTGCCTGTTTCTCCCTCATACTTGGTCTGGGGAGGGTTGTAGTGTCCTGCACACCCATTTCTTCTGTACCCAGGAGAGGTTGGGTGGGGCATGAGGCCTCTGCTGGGAACACCCTGGTCAGTTTCCCTCTTATGCAGTAGAAATACCATTTTCTCAGTATGGGAAGCATGTGCAAGGTGCTCAGCTAGATCTTACTGTGTGTTTCCCAATTGTCTGTGCAATTTGATCTTCAGATACCAGTGTGTCTTCTCCCCAGGAGAGACGTTCACACCCAGTACAGAAACACAGCCCAAAGTTCTAAAACAGAAGTGCTTGGTAGACGTATCAAGTATTTCATTATTAGTGATTCCTGTTTCACGAAGACTTGAGGGGTTTAGCTAATTGCCTAATTCAGTAAAAAAGTGGTCACCAGGGTCAGAAGGGAAGGGGAAGTAAGAGGCTGATGAAAGACTGCAAGCTTTTCGCTGAGATGAATAAGGCGAAGTCATTACCTAAATGCCATGTCATTACTGAGCACACAGTATGTTCTAAGGACCCTGATCACATGTGGTCTTGGCATATCAAATTAGTATGGTCTTGGCACTCAAATTAGTATAGAGAGCAGGTTTGAATTCTAGCACCACCACTCACCAGCTGTGTGATCTTTGGCAATTTACCTGACATCTCTGTACCTTAGTCTTTTTTTTTTTTTTAAAGATTTGTTTATTTTATAAGAACTGGGGTACGGGCCAGATGCACAGGAGGGTGACGGGATTCACCAGAGACAGAGTGGGGAACAGAACAGGCAGACTGATGAAATACACTGCTGAGGAGAGCAGTGGGTGAGACAGGAGAGGTCTGCTGCGCCATGTGGGACTCTCGCCGGCTGGCTGGTATCAAACCCGCGCTGCAGAGGCTGAGGACAGCTTCACAGCGTGGCGATCAACCGTCTGCGCCACCAGGGGAGGCCTTGTGCCTTAGTCTTCTAATCTGTGAAATGGGACATAGTCGTCACATGTACCTTTATTAGTTGATAATAAAATGAACAATCTTATTGGCTAATTGAAAGAAAAGAGCAGCTTCTTGTGGTAGTTGTGAGGATTTAAGAAGTTATTATGGACATAGAGCTGAGAATAGCATTAGTCATGAGGTAAGTGCTATAAAATATTAACTATTATTATTTTCAGGGATTCCCAAGGTCAGTGAGGAGCAGACCACATATCCCTGCAGAGGTATGGAGATTAGGGATTTGTCTGAAATGATTCTTTGCATCAGCAATATCTGTGGTGATATCCCAATAAGCTATAGGTAACATATTCCTGGACATTATTTCCTGTCCCCTAAATTTTATCACTTTATGACCCTATATTGGGGCTACTTTTTATGATTTGATCAGTACCCTCTGCATACATTCCTTTTTTGATTAAGTTGGTCTGAGTGGACCCTGTTGTTTGGAAACAGAAGTCCTGACCTGTACGTCCCACTTTGGATGTTGAGGGAAAAGGTTTAGAAGGATTATGTTCCAGGGCCTCCCTGGTGGCCCAGGGGGTTGGGCGCAGCACTGTGGAGTGGTCCACAGTCTCTGCAGCACTGGTTCAATTCCCAGCTGGCCAGGGAGATTCCCACAGGGTGTGGCAGACCTCTCCTGTCTCCCTGCTGCTCCACTCAGCAGTATTTTTGGTCCTTCTGCCTGTTCTGCTTCCCACTCTGTCTCTGGTGAATCCTCTCACCCTCCTGTGCCTCTGGCCTGTGCCCCAGCTCTGGTATAAAAATAAATCTTTTTTTAAAAATATTTATTTTATATAATTCTTACATCATTTTTCATCTTGCACAATGTTTGCATTTTCATTATGGTTATATTCCCCATACAATTGCATCCCCCCTTATTTTGACTCTAGTCCTTCTTCTCCACCCCTCCATAGTGTGTCTCTGGTTTATAGTTGCTTGTTGATTTGGTAAAAATAAATAAATCTTTTAAAAAAAGGATTATGTTCTGGAGTTCTTGAAGCTCATGAATAGTGGAGAAAGGATTCAACATATTTTTATCTACGCACTAAGAGCCCTGAGCTCTACTTACTCTATATCCTTGGAAAGACATCCTTTACAATAACCACTTTTAGTTTTGTCATGTTTTCTGCTACATATAATCACCACACTTATTTAATGAATATTTATGTCTCTCAACAACCTCTACCATCTTGCTTCTCCCTTGTCTTTGCTTCTTCTTCTTCCACCCCTCCCAATGCGTGTCTGCTCCATCTTTCCTTCTACGGTCTCTAGGTTTTAACATTCATGTTGTATTTGGTCACCACAAGAAATATTTCCCATGTGTACCCAGGTTCTTTCCAAACATTAAGATTGTACTAGTGAGGTGCTGTGTCTACCTTCAGGCATTTCTTCCATGCTATTATCTTCCATGCTATTGTCTTCCACACTATTGTTTTCCATGCTCTCTTTGCTGTCATCTTCTGTGGATTTGGTGCTGCTGTTTTTAATGTGTCAATGGGCTTCCACTTGAGGAAATAAGCTGGGTAAGGAGAGAATCTAGATTTCATTTTTAATTTTTTAAATTAATTTATTTATATATATTTTTCATCATTGTTCATTTTTGTATAATGTTTGTCTTCTTTTCTCAGGAGAAGCTAGATTTTAGAGGGAGGTCTCCAGTATGTTGAAATGGGAAGGGCTTTCTGTCAGCGTTCTGGAAGCCCTCTGTTTCTGTGGTAGTCTGGTGAATTTGTTTGGCGTTCTCAGGTGTCTGTCAAGATAATATCCAGGTTGCCTTAGGCATGAAGAATGAATGAATTTCAGGTTTCAGTAAGATTTTAGATTCTTCATAGAAATTGAAAGTAGAAGGGCAGGGGAAGTTGGAAGAGGATGGTGAAAGCCTGCAAGCTTTTAACTAGGAGGTGAGAAAGGCCTGAGGAGCTAATGCATACCATTGGGACTAACACTGATGGCACTGTGTTGGGTAATAACTGAAATCTGCTGCGCACGCAAATGGTCACTATGTGAGGTGATGAATCTGTTAACTAGATGGGAGAGATATATATCAAACCACCATACTGAATGTTTAAATATCTTATCGTTTTGTCAATTATACTTCAAGAAAGCTGAAAAAAGACATTTGTTCTGAAAGTATTTCCGTATCATACTCCCTCTCTGTCATGGACTCCTTATTCCTTTTCCATCTAAGTCCGGAAGCTTCATGGAGTCTAACTTCAAAGATCAACAATCTCCTTTGCTGTCATCTTCTGCAGATTTTGCACTGCTGTTTTTAATGTGTCAGTGGCTTCCACCCTGTTTCAGTCTTTCAGAAACTTGTTAAATATCTGATATCTTTGATTTTCCAAAAAATTTAAATATTTTTATTTGTTAAACATCCTTGTTTATTTCTTCACAATATAAGATTTCTCTCCTCAAGTTGGTCCCAATATAAAGGCGCCCACTGCCCTCCACCAAGTTCTTCCCCCTGCCCCCTCCCTTCCCCCCTCCCTACCCCTTTCTTTACTCTTCCCTCTTCGTCTCCCCTCCTGAATGGCTAAGATCTACAGTCTGCTTCCCAGGATCAGTTCACAGTTTGTCTTTGATCCTTTGCTTGGTTTCTCTAGATCCCACATGCAGGTGAAATCATCTAGTATTTATCTTTATTCTTCTGGCTCACTTCACTTAGAATAATCTCTTCCAGCTCCATCCATGTTACTGCAAATGGCATAAATTTATCTTTTTTGATCACTGAGTAGTATTCCATTGTGCATATGTACAACATATTTTCAATCCACTCATCTGTTCTGGGGCATTTAGGTTGCTTCCATATTTAGGTTATTGTAAAGAGTGCTGCTGTAAACATAGGAATGCGGGTTTCTTTTCAAGTTAGTGTTGTTTTTGCTTTTGGATAAATATCTAGTTGTGGAATTGCTGGGTCATATGGTAGATCCATTTTAGTCTTTTGAGGAATTGCCACACATCTTTCCACTGTGGCTGGATCAGTCTACATTCCTACTAATGGTGCAATATGGTTCCTTTTTCTCCACATCCAGCACTTGTTGTTTGTGGTTTTGGTTTTTTGGTTTTTTTTTATATATGGGTCATTCTTATGGGTGTGATGTGGTTCTTTGAATGGATCATGTTTTCTGGTGTACTGGGTTTATTTGTGTATTATTTCATTGGGCATATTGGAAGGGATGGAGAGGAATACTGGCTCTAAGTCTAATTTCTTGAATCAGAAAACCAATGATGATTCTTTTGACACCTCTTTGGGAACATCTCATAAACTGCTCTCAAATTAAAAGGAAAAGAAATTAGGTTACTATATTTATAATGCTTTGAAATATTCATGAAGCTACTTACATTTTTAATATTATTCATCAAGGACATAAAGCAAGATACTCACTGATGAAATTGAGGCATCAGTTCTCTGTCAAGTGATTTCTTGAAAATTTCCTGGATCAACAGAGTAATAAAAAGCAACACTTAGATCCCATAGCAAATTCTGGAATTCCCTATGAGGGCAAACTCAAGGTTGGTTTTTTGTTTGCTTTATACTTGTTGCCTACCAGGGAGGAAGAATAATTGAGAAAGAATAATTGAGAAAACCCCAAGAAACAATCCATAGCTTCAAAGAAAACCTCAAAAGAGTTCACTGGAAATCTTTACAATTCAGCTTTTTCTGTCTTCCTGTTGGCCAGTTTTGAGATTTCAACATGGTGTGGAGATGAGTCATATGATGGTGAATTGAGCCAAGGGTTCCATTTCAGTTTACATAGTCAGGAGGAAGAAATCCAGTCAAGGAGGTTTCAGCATCAAAATGTTTAAATAATCATTGCTAGAGATCCAAGATTTCTAGCAAATGGAAATTAGGAAAGGGGTCTTATGTGTAAAAAAATATGGAGGTTCAGGAATGCAGACATTATTGAAAAATATAGCTACAGATTTTATGTTTCTAATAATATGATGGTTTAGGTCAGAAATAGAAAATTATTCCTTGAGTTGATCATTGGCTTAACCATACATTTATTTATTTCACAAATATTTATTGAGCAGCTATTAACCTGATTATTTTGAGAATTCTGGGGAATCCAATGACAAGAACTCAGATTTGGTTTCTGCTCAGAGAGATGAAATCTGTATGGATCCTGTGGATCCTACAGGAAATATTCTTTCCAAGATTTAGTTAGATCTAAAGCACTTGAGGGTCAGTCAACAGATTTTGCATGCCTAATGCATTCCTCCATGCCAATTAGAAGTAATTTATGAGTAATTTCAAATACAAATACTGGCATTCATAAAGTAAATGCATTAATGAAAATATGGACAGTCTTAGCCATCAGCTGAAACTTAATCTCTGTTACATACTGTTCTCAGCAATATTTAGGTATTAATGATATGCATTCTCCAAATTTTGCAAAGAGAAGCTACAGATAATTTTCTGAAGACTTAATGGTACTAAAGAGTTTTGATGGGGTGTGCACAAAACTTCCTTTCATTTCCAAATGATAAAATAGAAATTTGGGAACTATTTCACTTTGGTCAGAGTCCAGAATCAATGTGCCAAATTTTGATCTATAATTACAGTCCCCTTTTCCATTCTGGTCATTACCTGAATATTGGCTTGTGGCAATTTCAGGATTTGCTAAGTTATGTGAAGGAGGTAGTGTGGATTCTAAAATATGATCTACTTTGGAAATCAACCTGAGAAAAACTTTGATGGAAAGGAATGAACTGAACACACATTTAACAAGCTAAAGCTACATCAAAGGAACAGGAAGAATCACTTGATAATAAAAATGTTGCTTTGATTGAAACGCGGCAAAAAGCCACAGGTACTGAAAGGAGACTGAATTGTTTCTGGATCAAACACTCCATAAACTTAGGTAAAATATGAAATGCTTCTAGTAAATTTTGTGCAGCTATATTAAAATGGGTCTCTTGCTGAGCTCAAGTTGAGGCATTGTTCATGAACCTTCTTTCTTTCTCATAAAAAGTAGCTACAGATACATGTAAGATAAATTCATCAAATGTCTGTCATGCATAAGGATTTCTCAACAATATTTCTAAAGAAAAGTTATAGGTTTGTTTTTTCACACAATTCTCTGATTATAAAGAAACACTTTCACAAATTTCACTGCAATGCTTATTAAAACAACTAAGCATCTTAAGAGTCTAATGATAGCTATATTTGGTAAGGCAATTTTATTTTGCTACCATGGACTTAATAACCTACTCTGTTACATCTCAGTCTATTGCATTCACTGCTTTGCCATCATTTGGGATTAATTAATTAATTTGATAGCAGAATACTGAGATAGGAAGCATTATTGTTTTGTGCAAGACTGCACATGATAGGTGAGCAGTAAAGTTTTATTAAATGAAGCTATCTCAAGCATTGGAATTCTTTGAGAAAACTAGTTTGACTTACATCATTTCTATATGTAATCATGTCTTGTTTCTAAGCACAAGACAATTTATATTATTTAGGAAATTTTTGTATGACTGTTTATACGCTCACAAGCAGATGTAAACAGATGGAACTTCTGTAGTCAGTTAGATTGTTGGTGTCATAGAGATATGTGACGAAGAATTGAGCCAAAGTTTCCATAGCACAGGAAAGCTGTCTTCCAGGGAGGCTGAGTGTTAGGTGACCGCACTTGTTGGTGACGAAGAATTGAGCCAAAGTTTCCATAGCACAGGAAAGCTGTCTTCCAGGGAGGCTGAGTGTTAGGTGACCGCACTTGTTGCCTAGAGAACCATGATATTCTTTGGTCTATCACCATGAAACAGAATAGACACCCCAGAGAGCAGGGACGGGGACTGTTCAGGGGAGAGCAGGGCTATAGAAGATTTAGTTTTATTTACAAATTTACCCACTTCTTCCAGCCTGAGATAAATCCCTTCCTCTAAGGTAATAGAGAATATAAAGCCCTAGTGTGGTTGATGCAAATTTCAGAAGAACAGAGAGAAACAAATAGCCTCTGCCATGATATCTAAGAAAGTTTTCAACCTGGTGTCAAATGGATCAAAGGCCAGTTAACAGCAATGACAGAAGCAGCAACAGAAACACTTGGCACTTTTTTGAACACTAAATGCTCTTGAAATCCTCTTTTAGCTTGCATGTCTTAATTATTTCAATCCTCACAAATTCTGTAAGATATGTACCATCACTTGATGCATTTTATAGATGATAAAGTGACAGGTAAGACAAGTCAAGTGTACCAGGTGGCAGGGTAAGGACTCAGACTCAGGCTACTGGGCTCATACCTTGGACATTTGGGTAACAGTGCCTCAGGTCTGAGAAGAGTGAGCCTACTAGGGCTGCCATAACAAAGTACAACAGGCTGGGGGCTTAACCAACAATTTACTGCCTTGGTTTTAGAGGCTGGACTTCTGAGATCAAAGTGATGGCAAGGTTGTTTCTTCCCAGCATGTAGATGGCTGTCTTCACCTGATCTTCTCTTTGTGCCATCTACATCCAAATTTTCTCCTTTTGGTTCCTCAAATTACTAAAAATGGATCTACCATACAACCCAGTGATTCCACTCTCAGGAATCTACACAAAGGACACAAAAACATTAATTCAAAAGGAAACCTGCACTCCTAATTTTATTGCAGCATTATTTACAATAGCTAAGACATGGAAACAACCTAAATGCCCCCAAACAGGTAGATGAATAAAGGTGTGGTCTATATACACAATGGAATACTCTTCAGCAATCAGAAAAGATAAACTTATGCCATTTGCAGCAACATGGATGGAGCTGGAAGGGATTATGGTAAGTGAAATAAGTCAGAAGGAAAAAGAAAAATATAAGATGGCTTCACTTATAGGGGGAATATAGGGGAACCAAACAAAAGGTCAAAAAAGAAAGACAAAATGTGCAGGCAAACCACAGATCTGAGGCACACAGCAGGGGAGGGGAGCGCACAGGGACTATGATGATGGATCAGTGTGTTGTGGTGGTGGGAGACTTACTGGGACTACACCTGAAGGGGGCAATCAAATATTGTACAAAAAAATGAAAAAAATGAACAACAATGTAAGAAAATAAAAAGGTTTAATTGATTAAAAACAAACAATTTTGCTCCTTTTATAAGGTCCCAGTCATATTCGATTAGGATCCAGCTACTGGCCATGTTTTAACTTAGGATATCTTTAAGGACCCTATCTTCAAGTAAAATCACATTCTCAGGTGCTGAGGGTTAGGGTTTCCACATATGAATTGTGGGGAGGGGGCACAATTCAGCCATAGCGGGGGCCCTGAAGGACAGGTTGTCAGGAGGTGAGTGAACAAAGCAGCAGCTCACCGAGGCCATGAGTGTGGGGTTTATTTTTCAGTTTTAAATGACACCTACTCAGCAGTTTCAAGTTTAGCATTTCTCAATTTCTTACCAATATTTGACAGTTCAAATACGAACATAAAAAGCTGATGGAACAATTAACAATATAAAGAAGAGCAGAAAAGACACACATGGAACCCTGGCAACAACAACTGCGTGTGGAATTTCTCAATTAAGAAAAACCAACTCCATCCATGTTGCTACAAATTGCATGAGTTCATCTTTTTTGAGTAATATTACTGAGTAATATTCCATTTTGTATATGTACCACGGGATCATGCTCAGCGAAATAAGCCAGAAAGAAAAAGAAAAATACCGGATGGTCTCACTCATAGCAGGAATTTAGAAAACCTAAATAAGGGGCCAGGAAAAAGACTCATTAATACAAAGCAAAAATCAAAATCAACAAGCAACTATAAACCAGAGACACACTACAGGGGTGGGGAGAGGAGGGAGTAGGATCAAAACAAGGGGGAATTGATGGGAACTATAACCAAGATAAAAATGCATACATTGTACAAAAATGAAAAATGATGTAAAAAATATATAAAATAAAAAAAAATGAAAAAAAGACACAAAAAAAAAAAAAGAGAGAGAAACCAGGCCATGGGTGGGACAGAAGAAGGAACCCCAGTGAAGCAAAATGGCACCAGCTAAATGGCCACTGGGAACTCGGCCTTGGGACCGTGCAGTTCTCTGCTGTCCAGGGACCACCAGGCTCAGGCGCTGCGTGACAGGAGGATGTCCCTGCGGATCTACTGGAGAACCTCCGTCCCCATGTCCCCTCTCACCCAGTGAGAAGAGAAACGGAATGATGTGGAAACAGTGCAGGACGTGGGGAAGGAAAATGATCATGTGAACACAGATGGAGAAGACAATCTGTAAGGCGCCCCTAAATCCTTGAAAGGGCAAACCTCAGGGAGATTGAAAATAAAGTCTTGTTAGAATGCAAGAGATGTCATTCACCCAAACAGGATTAGAGAGTCCTAAAGACAGACTGAGCAGAGGCGGAGTACCCAAGGAAACAAGGAAAGGAGAAATAGTGGAGACCAGGATGGTTGGCAGTGCAACTAAAGTCAAATAGTTGAATAATCATCCATTTTGAATTGACTGAATGTCAGAACTAAAACAGTGGGGTAGGGGATTCGTAATTTGAAGGATAAAAGTTGGAATTTCTTTGGGAATGCCAGGTGAGTGACAGAAGTGGAAAATGAAAGAACTGATCACATTGCTATATTAAAAAAATTAAAATTCATAGACGCGAAATGGAAATTGAGGTCCTACCTATCTGATTAAAACTACTGCATGAGCAGATTAAAAGACTTACCACATTTCAGGTAACAGCAATGAGAATAGATACACACTGAAATATCTTGGGCCTGAAAAAAAAATAAAATAAAAATTGAGATGGTTCTCCTGTTCAGCACCGCAAATTCTTTATAAACCTCCCTGCAGGAATAATAGGAACCACCTGACAGAGTGTCTGATGCACCCTACGTGCCAAAGATAGAATATACTTTGCAAAATTTCAATTGGTCTACAAAATAGATAATTAGCTGATGTGTCTTTCTCTGAAAGGAGATAAAATATATTCAAATATAGACATGATTCATAAAAAATGCCATCAATATGATATTCTTGGGAAAAACCACTTGTATCTGATATAAATCATTCAAATTGGCTTTATTAATTTAAAGATGGATTTGTTTTGTGATGTAAAGCAAGCATCAAATATATTGAAAGTGTCATATAAAAATATTACAAAGAATCTCCAATAAAGAAAAAGGGAGTTTTATTTTATCTTTTTATTGAGGTGTAATTGACATATAACATATTAGTTTCAGATATACAACATAATAATTTGATGTTTGCATACACTTGGAAAAATACCACCGCTGTTAAATCTGACTGTCATTGGCCACCAGATATAGATGCGTGGTTATAATTTATTCTTCTTATAGTGAGTACTTTCAAGATTTACTTTCTTAGCAACAGTTAAATGTGCAATACAGCATTCTCAACGGTGGTCAGAAGGTTCTGGGTTAAAGCTGCAAGCATAGACAGTTTTAACAGGCAAATGGAAATGTTACAAGATTAGTATCAGCAATGCAGGATTCCCAGTAAAAAGGAATCCAGTGATTGGAAAACATTAGTTGGGGCAAATAAAAATTAGACTTTAATGTAAATTAAAAATTAGACTTTAATGTAAAATAAAAGCTTAAAGAACTGAAATTTTTTTTAATTCAATTATTATATAACTTTGTATTGGACAAGACCTCTCTAAGCTTATCACGAACACAAAACCACACAGGAAAAAACAAATTGATCTTTAAAATTCAAAATTTCAATCTTGCACATGTGCAAATAATTAGACAAATGAATCAATAATACAATTAAAAGGTAATGGAAAATCTAGGGAAATACTTGCAATGTTTATGAAAGATAAATGGTTAAAATTTGTAATATTACAAATCTCTTAAAAATAATAAAAATGTTGGATAAGACAAAAGTGAGTAAATCACAAAACAAGTCAAAAATCAGGAGAAATAAAAACAACAAATAAACTTGAAAAAGTTTAACTCAACCGTGATCAAAGAAATGCAAAATTAAGTGACACTGCTTTTTACCTGCTAAGTTGACAACAGTGGCCTTTTATCTTTGTCATTTTGTTTTTAAAATAATAATAGCATCTTTGTGTCTGCAAGTAACTGAAAATTCTCATACATTGTTGACGGCATATAAATTACCAATCTTTCTGGAAGGCAATTTGGTAACATGTATCAAAAGCTTTAAAATATTCATTTCCTTTGATTCAGTAATTTCACTTCTGGGAATTTATTCCAGGGCAAAAGCATTTATTCACACAACAATGTGTTATAAGAAAGAGTTCAGCACAGATGTATTTATGCTAGAAAAAAAGAGCTTTTTTTCTATTGTATTTTACTAAAGACAAATCTCAAAATACTTTGCAACCATTAAAATTTATGTTTCTGAAATATAAGTATTGACAGAAAATTTCCATGGCATAATATTAAGTGAGAAAGAGTAGGCTAATACATTTTCATTACTTAAATTCTATTTAAAGGATACTTCTACAAAGTAAAAAAGAATGAAACATTAAAAAATATGCTATTTTGACATGGTAGAATTGAGTGGTTTTTATTTTATTGTTTTATATAATTCTAAAATTAACTGTCATTATGAATTAATTTTATAATAAAATAGAATTTAAAAATACCCAAGGCTAAAAGGAGAATACTTCGGGGTATTTCCCCTTAGTGTCAATCATTTGAATATTTTCAAAATTCATAGTTATTTCTGATTGCTGAGGCAGAATTATTTATCCTTTTTGGGGGTCATCCATAAAAGAAACATGTTTGTTACTAAGGAAATTTATTAATATAGTTGTCTCTATCCTTTGAATTTTAAGTCCCTCAATTTTATGTAACCTCTCTTATTAATATTAGAAACCCAAAATAGCAACCGGTAAGGTATTTTCACATACTGTTAACGCTTTTGAAGAATACATTGAGTTGAATAAATTTATTCCAGTTTGATTATGAAGATGGAAACTTATAGAAAGAGGAAGTAGTTTATAAAACTATCCAGTAGTATAAATCACTTTGATAGAAGAGGTTTTAATTTCATCTCTTTTTAATTTGCAATTCATTATTTATGTACTCAGGAAATTTGGTCTAATCTAGAGTTACATGTCATAGTTGTTGATATATTTAAATGACTCAGAAAATTTAATGTACATATTTTTTTATATGTACAGGTTTTGAAATACATTTATAGCATTTTCAAAATACTGTGTTTACATATTTGAGAAACCAGAATGTCTGAATTGACGACTGTTCTGATAGAAACTGTAATGAAACCCCACAAATTAAAATATCTAGTCTGTATATTTACTATTTTCATCTTATATATATAATGTATAGGAATATAAATGTATATATACATACAGACAGACATACACATATTACATTTCTCCTTTACATAGAGAAATATTATGTATTTTCTTGTCCCCTTAGAAGTCTAAAGGAGGAAAATTAATGGGATAGAGTGTATGAAAGAAAGTAGCTGAATAGCACTGTGGCATCCTTGAGAGGTGTCCCATGTTTCAGGTCTACCTAGCACAGAGCACAGTAAACATGAATTTAGATTATAAGTTCCCGAAGGAACTGTGCATCTAAAATCAGTGAATTTTTTTTTTTACACAAGAAGTGTTGTATTTATCATTTTACTACAGTCAAGTGGATTTTTTTAAAAAAATTGACATTTTTGAGATATGTGGTTTATTATTTAATTAAATAAACAAAAAAAAATGATCAAAAAAATACATTATGTGATGATCCTTTGGCTCGTGTCTGTTTTCCCAGGTAATTATTAGCAGACTATCTCTTCATTCTCCAGAGTCAATGATAACTTTTCTCATCACCCTAACTATAAGGTACAATGAAAAATGACAACTGAGTGATACATGTATGAGAGAAACTGAAGCCTTAAACCCGAAAATTTTCCACTGTGAACTTCATATGCACTTGCCCCTGGCAGCTGTTCCTCCCGCTCTTGCACATGAAACAGTCCTTAACTATTCCTCTTCATCCTTTTAATAAAACTCAGGCTGCTAATCCACGTGAAAAATCCTTCTCTTCCCATTTCCGGAACCACCTGAATTTGACCTTCCTCCTGCTAAAGCCTCATAGGACATTCCATATTCCATCCTGCTCCCCGATTTAGAGCTGCCTCCACTCCTGGAGTGTTTTCTTAAGCCAGACATTTTTGAATAAATTCTTACTCGAATGGAACGCTGGTTGATTTTCTTCCTGTAGTAGGAAATACTTTAGGGATTCATAGTTGAGGTGCAAGAGAGAGATCAATGGTGGGGGAAATATTTAAACTGAGCTTACAAAGATGAATTGTTTACAGGTCAAAGCATAAATCTTCTGTATTAATATTTCTAACGCATTATCAGGTATCAGTTTGCACCCAGGTGTTTCTACTATATCATGGCTTACCCATATAGTAAGATAAAATTAGATCCTGGAGAACTTGTAGAAGTAAATATATAAGTGCACAGATCAAGTAAAGTGTAAATAAAGCCAACAAGTGTGAAGGTCTCATTCCAGAGGGGACTTCAGCATGCGCCAAAGCTTTTGAAGAATTAATATGCATTCCTAAACTTTGCATATATTTAATCCCTACAGTCACAAAGATATCACTTCAAAAAAATCCTTTAAATGAAAAACCATTTTTTTTTTGTGTAGCAAGAGTCAAATATTTCAAGAACTATTTGTCTTATTATAATGTGCCAAGGCCATTATCACAAATAACTAATGTAAATGTTCTTTTAAGGTGCAGAAACATAATGCTGAAAGTATTTGCATTAAATTTGAAGCTGCTCCTAGCAACCAGGTTGAACACATGTCAATCCTCACAAATTTCATTTGACCCCTAAATGTATTCTTTTGCTCTCTTCTGCAGTACTTTTCAGACAGGGAAGACATAAGCAGAGGCCATTTCTCTCTCTTTCAAGTCTAGGATTTGAGTGCAGCTACAGAACGCCAAGTCTGCCCCATCTACCATGTGGTTAATATGTCTTAGGCTAAGGGACCAAAACTTTATTATGGACCAGGAGTGTGTTAGTCAAAATTCAACAGTAGGATCTTTGGGGATAAAAGGTATGTGGGGGGAATGATGTGCAGCGTTTTCCATGTACATGTTATGATACTACCACCCAGGCCATTTAAGCAATGTGATGTTGTAACAGGGTAATCCCCAGGGAAAGGGGAGGTTCCAGGATCCCTGCCCTTTCCAAGAAAGGGTGGAGCTGGGCAGGGAAGGGAAGCTATCAATAGAAAAGACTGAGAGAAAAATGCTGGCTGAGAAGTGGACCCAGATGGAGAAGGCAGAAACTAGAGGAGGCACATGGAGCAGAGAGACATGTGGAGGAGAAGCCATGCTTGCTTCTCGGTGTTGGACTTGTACCAGGGACATGGGGGACATGGAAATAGACACTTGAAAGAGAGAGACCCGTGGGGAGGCTGACAATGGCAGCCTTTATTTTGACTTGGATTTTGATTTTGCTTCTTTTGCTTCTTTCCTTCCAGACCTGCGTGGTCTGCCCTTTTCCTGTGGGCCCCCAAAAGGAGGTGCCTTAGACAGTGCAGGTTTTGGGGCCCCAGTGGTCCTGCTTTGGGCCAACTCTGGCTGGGCATTTGCCCACGAGGGGAAGGGTAACTTCAGGTTTTTCATGGGAAAACTCTTATCTACTTTTTCCTTCCTCTTTATTGCACACTAGTTGTATTAAAGTTCCTTTCCACTAAATGTCTTATGCACCTGTGTTTTGCCTTGATGCAGTGGGTGGCAGAACCTATTTAGAACAGGCAATTTTGGGGGTCCCAAGGTACCCCTCATCTGGACCGTAGCAATGTTACTGAAAGCAGAATTAGAAAGAGATGTAAAGGACACATTATATAGTAACCTTCATCGTGCAGATATAATAATAGAAGGGTTGCCACAAGAGCATAGTGAAAATGAATGTAAGGACTAATTAGGAAGTGGTGAGTATTAGATAGGTATTGCCCTTGTCTAAATAAAGTATATTTAATTAAATGTTAACCTATTTAAAATTTTAATAACACTTGCATTAACAACTAACTGGCTTGCAAAATTTCTGAAATTGCAACAACAGCTTTCTCTGAGCTGATACGAGTAAGCTGCAACACAGCACTGGGGGTTTACTCCTTATTTTCAAACTATGGTCCCCACATCCGCAACCCATCTACACCACCTAGGAGCTTGTTAGAAATGTAGTCTCAGTCCCACCCAGGTCTCCAGTTCTACAAAATGAGATTCTACATTTCAACAACAGATGAAAGTGTGAGAAGTACTTGAAATTTTACGCCCAGTCCAGTTCAGCCTTAGGGATGAGGAAGTTCCTGATTAACAGAAGGATGCCTTGCTGAGAGCTGTGGATTTAACATAGAATTAGCACGAGTTGGGGCTTAGTGATGGAAACTTGACACTCTATAATATTACAATGTAATATCACTTCAATTAGAACAGAGAAACTCTGCAATGAGTTTTCAGTCCACCGGGAATAAATAGTTGTATAGAGCCAAAAAAAAGTTTTAAAGTTTGGGGGAATATCACTTTAAAATCTGTGACTAAAAAGCAACTAGATAATAAGTCTTGAAAGCTAGAGAGAAAGTGAAACCATGATAAAGATGAAAATAATAGTGTATATGTATAATTCACCCCACTTCATATATAACTGAATTAAAAAGAAACACCTTAATGGCTACTGGCACAGGAAATATCTAATTAGGAAACAAAGACCGTGTCTTGGCATTTATTTTTTTTGACCACGTAGAACTCCAATTTTAAAGTTGGGTATCAATGATAAATTATTTTTCCTACAGATAGGTTTTTTTTTTTTTTAAGATTTATTTATTTATTTGTACAAGCACTGGGTACAGTCAGAAGCGTGGGAGGGTGAGAGAATTCACCAGAGCCAGAGCGGGGAGCAGAGCAGGCTCTACAACCGCTGCGCCACCGGGAAGGCCCCCTACAGATAGGTTTTTAAAACTCTCTTCCATTCATACAAAGCAAACAGATCTGCACATGAAAAATAGAATATTGGAAAAACAGGAATGCGGAGATGGGTGAAAGTAGAGCGGAATGCAGCATTTTAGAGTTGAGGCCAAGTGGCAATCTTGAATTTTGCAAGGGATTTTGGAGAAAATAATCTTTAGTATTCTCAATAAATCAAATGCGTGAAATGACAGCAGGCATCAATGGCCCAAGATGGCAGGGATGCATGAGCTCAACAACACTGGCTTCCCCTTACAAAAGGATAATTCGGCTAGTTTATTGTTGAATAGCCACTCTCCCAAGAGCAGAGAGCCACCCAGCACCCCCAGTGTGGTGTCAGTGTTGGGAGGTGGGCGGGGGACGGGGGTGGGCAGCCAGCTGCCTGGTGTTTGGTTGATTCCTCTGAACTGTTTCCATCATGGGGTTGGGGGTGGCCAGAGAGTTATGAAGCATTTCCCATTATGTAATAGTGTTGAAAGGAACAGAATTCCATGAAAGCAGTTCAAACACAAGGATCTCGCTTTTCAATGGATTTCTTCAGGTCTTAAGTATAGAGACTTTATCAGGGACTTTATATCTTTGTTCTAGTACCTTTTATATGAAATATGTCAAGCCAACCTTAATTAAATAGGTATTAAGTACTGTACAGTACTTACATTTTCAGTATACATAATGAAAATTTCAGGGCAAACCTTCTCACCTGTAGCCACCGATTCTTATTCCTTCCTTGTGCTGGAAGGAGACGCGGAGAGTGAATGTCCTCTAAACGCAGACATTTGTCCTTCAAGGGCTTCCCGAGTCTTGTTTAAACTCCACTCACGCTGTGATGTCCACTCTGTGTGCAGACACAGTGGCTGCCGTCTTGTATACCCACAGAGAGCAAGAGGGCTCTCCAGTGCCTCAGGACTGAATGCCTTCTGTTGCTTCCCATCCTTTGCTATGCAAATGCCAGCGAGTACCTGCTCTGCCCAGGCGGTGCTGTGTGTGGAGCTGAGATGTGGTGGCCATAGACAGACCCTGTCCTGCCCCTTCGAACTCACAGCTTGCAGGATAGAAACATTCATCCAATATTTAAATCAGTTCCAAAAAAATCATTAAACATGTGAGTATTTATTGCATATTCAAAACTGTTTTAGGTGCCAGTGACAAAGCAGTGGAAGAAAAAAAAAAAGATAGAAATCCTGTCCTCAATGAGATGGTCTTCTAGTATGTGGTGGCAAGCTGGCACAGGGCAGGTTCTCGATGGATCCCGGCAGATGGGTAAAGGAAGTCCAGAGACCTCAGTAGCTCTTTCAGGTTTTAATGATCTTTCTATGCCAATTGCAGTGTGGTATAGTGGCAGGAGGACACGGAGCAGGATCTTTATGACCCGAGCAGCGGGGTGAAGGAGGAGAGTCCTGGAGCCTTCAGTGGCTTTTGCAGGCTTTTATTGGAATTTACCAGGCACACAGCAGGCAGGGGTGCTGGGGGACTGGAGGGCCGGGAGGCTGGCAGGCCTCCCAGCCCCCAGCAAGTCTTCACTTTTTCTGGGCTCTCTGGCGTTTTCTTGTGGTTCTGCTCTCTGCTGGCGTCCCCGGACACTGCCCTTATAAGCCCAGTCTCAGCCCAGGTGGATCCCATCTGCATATGCCCACACCCTCCTCCAGGTGCCCGCCATCAGGCATGCATTCAGGACCACAAGGATCCATGATCAATCCTAATGTCGGGAGGGCAGAAAAGCCTGATACTTCACTTACCCTACATGTGGCAACAGGTAGAGGGCAGGCAGGGGGACAGGGGCCCGGGAGGCTGGCCCCTTCTAGGCCCCGATGTTTCTTGACTCTGGGCTCTCTAGTGTTTTCTGGTGGTCTTTTCCTCTCGTAGCCTTTCTCTGCTGCTCCGCACATCATCTGCCACACACCCTATGTGCTCAGTCTCTCGGCTCAGGTGTGCCCATTTACACACGCCCACACCATGCTCCAGGTGTCCACCATCAGGCATGCGTACCCTGAGCCCAGCTCCCAAGCGCCTCCTGCAGTCAAGGCCACAGGTGATAGCCACGGAGGCCAAGAGTGCAAAATCCTGAGCAGTCTTCATCTACCCCACATAGGGGATATGAAATTAATAACTCTGATACATGCTACCAGTAAAATCTATAGAGTTCAATGACAAAATATATCAGGGGGATGTGAACTAAGCTCACAACTCAAGAGTTTCTGAACTGTGATGTCTAAGCTGAGCGCTGAATGATAAAAAAAGCGTTAACTAACTAGGCAAGCATAGTTAACTATGAGGAGATGAAAATATGGGTTAGTTACCATATAATTGAAGGAAAAAGCCTTGAAATATGAAAATTCAAAAGTGATTAAAAGTCCTAGCAATTAATTCTAAATCCCTGACTAATCAAAATTAATTAAGGAACCACGGAGCTCATTTATCTTGGGACTTTTTCCAACATTCAATTTATGCTAAAAACAATTGCTATTTTATAAAGTGAATATTCATTAGGGAATTCTGATCAAGGATGGAGAAATGTAGATTATGATTAGGACAAATGTGGTGCTAACAGTTACTATAAATACACTCACAACTACACAACCTTTTAAAATTGAAACAGGATTTAACATTTCTATATTTTGAATTTGAATATGAAAGGAAGGGAACGTTTTCATTATTTGTAGATAAACAAATAAAAATAATTTTTTCATAATAATTTTTAAGGTAACAGGCTTATAACATGGTATAGGTTTCAGGTGACAGTAAAATCAAACATCTATATTAAAAGTAACTATTATTTTATACTGAAATCTATATAAACCTGCAAAATTTGAAAAGTAAACAAAATTATTTAAAAAGCAAATAGAAATGAACAATTACCTATCAACCAAAGTTTATATGTTTATAAATTTAAATGTCAAATTAAAAATGATCATATTTTATATGCAAATATGTTAAATTTTGATTATTCAGATACGGACATAGCTTCAATTAATAAACCATATAATTTTGAAGTTGCTGTATTTAGAATATATATTTTTGCATAAGAAAATAGTAGCATTGCTATTTTGTATTATTGTTGAACTTTGATGATTACATTTTAGAAAATGAAAAATTGCGATATTCTAACTCTGCCACTTAATTTTACGGAAAACGTGAGCTTTCGTTGTATAAATGGTAATAAAGAATATGGATTTTCTAATGTTCTGATCGTTATTGAGAATAACATAAAACATGTTAAGCTAATATAAAACATAGATAATGTGGCTTAATAGAATTAGCTGAGTAATGAGAATATTAATAACTGTTAGATTAAAAATGTTTGATTATCCCTTATGAGTTTATTATATACTAACTTCTTAATTTTCCATTTTAGTTCACTAGAGTAGTTTTTTTCTCCTCTAATTACACTGAAAATTCCCAAATGGTCTGGGAGACAACAAAGGAATAATACACAAATATGACGATTTATAAGGTAGCAACAAAAATATTTCATCTAGAGGACAATGCAGAGGATCAGTTACTAATTAATAAACTTTCTGCACTAACGAGCTCGTCTACAGGGGGGCTTGTGACTTAGATCTGGTCAATTGTATTTCTCATCTCTTTTTCCTCAGTGATGGGTCCAGATGATTTGTGTGTGATTCAAAACATTTTACCCCCACTTCCCACATGTAGGCTTGTGACGTGAGAGAGGGTCATTTTCTTCTTCTTTCTACAATTGTAAGATTGAAGTTTGGAGCTGCTGCTGGCCATCTGTTCTCATGTGAAGTTAGTCTGTCTAAGATAACGTAATCACAAGTGAAAGTAGGGTGGGGGATAGAAGGGTGGTGGAGAGGCTGCCAGACAACATTGAATTCCTGAGGCCAGCAGAATCTGAAGCAGCCCGTGACAGTAGGTTTGTTGGTTCTACAAGCCAACACTGTGATTTGTTTCTTCATTAAAACCAAGCTCAAAATTTTTGACAGGTGAGGTCCATCAATTTTTTTATTATAAATTTTATTTTTATATTCCCCATACAATTGCGACCTCCTTATTTTGACCCCAATTCCTCCCCTACCGAGGTCCATCAATTTTTAAAGGAGTAGATCATTTCTACACTATTTAGTGACTTTAGAGATCGTCCCAACTCAACCTGGTATCAAGATTTCTATAGTTTTCCCCAAATATATACTATATATTAGGCAAATCCCACTGATGAATAAAGGCAAGAGTTTAAATATTAGTAAATCAAGCCAAGCACAATACAAATAATTCGACATCTCTGACGGAGTTTTAAAAGTAATTCTACACCGAAAGTTTATTAACACAGTCAATCATATTCATAGCCAAAGAAAAAGTTTTCAATCATCTTGATAATGACTGTTATATAAAATGTGACTGCCTTCCACATCAGCAAAAAAAGTTATTAAATAGACTGAGAAATTTTCCACGTTATAAGGAATAGCTAGCTTGAATTAATAGGTATTCTTACAGCCAATGTTGAAATATCAGCAAGATTTATATTAAATTCTGGAGCAAGAAATGTCTTACAAGTTATAGTGCATTGAATTAGACAAGGAAACAAAACAGGAAGTAATAGAAAAGCTGAGAACGAGTCTTTTTATTTCCAGACAACATCATTACATAGATGGAAAGCTCCAAACAGCAAACTAAAAAACAATTTTGGATTGAAAAAGAAATATATGAAGGAAAATAGTCAACACTGAATAGTTAACAAGTAGAATAATTAAGTCAGAAGGGAAAAGACAAATACTGGATGGTTTCACTTAACTGTGGACTACCGAGAAACACAACAAAGACTCAGCCGGAACCAAAACAGTAACAAGCTCTAGAAACCTGACTGTAGAACTGAGGCTACCAGAGCGGGAGGGGTAGGGGTGGGGAGGGGTCCAATGCACCCCAATGGAGAACTATGGGTGCCTTGGGGTGGGTGTGATGTGGTGACATATATCGGTAGAGGTGGAACCCTCTACTTCTAAATCATATGCAGTATTGTAAACCAGTGTTACCATGATTAAAAAAAATAGATATTTAAATAAATGCATCACAACAACAAAAAAATAAGAGATAGCATTTGTAATAAAATCTATTTTATGAATTTCCCAACAACAAAAAAAATGTATTAGTTTACATTTTTTCTTTATTTTTTTAAAGATTTTTTAAAAAGATTTATTTATTTATGCATACAAGAATTGGGGTACAGGCCAGAGGTGCAGGGGCTGAGAGGATTCACCAGAGACAGAGTGGGGAACAGAACAGGTAGACTGACCAAAACACACTCTTGAGGGGAGCAGCAGGGAGACAGGAGAGGTCTGCTGCCCCATGTGGGTAACTCCCTGGCAAGCTGGGGATTGAACTCGTGCTGCAGTGGCTGCTGACAGTTTCATAGTGCTGAGACTTAACCTCTTGCACCACCAGAGAGGCCCTAGGTTACATTTTGTCTACTATTTATTATATTACTACATAGAATGCTCATCTCTGAACACAGATTGCGGTAGCTGGATTCATTAATGGCTCCTATTAATGGTTTCCCTGTATCTACATTGCTTTTTGCAGCACAGTTTAGTGTCTCCTTCCTCCACAATTCTGACCCAGCCACGCTGTCTTGCTTTGGCCAAATGGTTAACCAATGTGATTTAAATGCAGACCCGACACACTAGGTCTCAAATCCTTGTTCTTCCTTTTTCTTGCTTCTCTGTGATTACCTGCTTGCGTGAGCATGAGCAATAGAAGAGACACGTGATGAGAGACAATTAGAAAAAAACTCAAGTATCCTAACCAAGGCCACGCTAGACCAGTATATAGCCACCTTACCCACACCCACGAGCACCTGGACACAACCCCAGAGTCTCTTCTCCATCCCAGTGTTAACTGTGGGTGCATGTGATTCATCAGCCGTCATCAGAAAGCAACCTAGCCGAATTGAGGGCTTGTA